ATGCATGCTGCACTTTAATGTCTTGATGAAACTCGGCACGCCTTCTCCATTCAGCATTGTGACTCATTTTGCATGGGCTCGCATGTTCTTGGAAATTTGCATGACAAACTTACTCTCTGAGGTTCACACCTCTGAAGCATGAAAAAAGTCTCCTGACCTTGGGTGCCTGCTGCATCCACATTCTTACCCAGAGCTCTCTAGCTTGGGCTTGGCCCAAGCCTCTTCCTTTTATCCCCAACTAATGACTGAGATCAGGCTGGGCAGTGCAAAAGCACTCAAAGCCTTTAAACCTAATTATAATAATAAATTACTCTATGATATGTTGATTGTAAAATATTACTTGACCTTGGATTTATTCGCTTTAATGTGCCATTATTTTGTCAAAGGACTTTATCTGATTTTATTAAGTGATAGTACTTCTCATTATATTTGATAGTGCTTAGTCAATATTCATTTGTCTAGTCTATTGACAAACTGGTATCAACTCAGGGTAATTATCCTCCAGTTAATCTATCTTAAATCAACTTTCACTTATCATTATTTGACTAAAAGATTATATTAAGATTCTATTTTGTTGTAATATACTATGTTGTCAATGTTGTCTATATCTTTGCATATAGACGAATTTAGTAGCCTGTTTCTTGTACACTGTAAACAAAGTGTTTAGGTAAGCTCATTTTAGCTGAGTTACCCCCTCGTTGTGTGCACTCGGACGTTGTGTATGCTCAGTGGTGCTGGGTTGGGGTGACACGGTTTTGACTCGAAGGAGGCAGAGCCAAATTTGGGCTTCCAAGAATAAACTCCACCTCAGTTCAGGGTATAACTTTTAATGAGTTCCTCTAACGGACTAACAACGGCGTAGGTGGAGTTCTTGGATAGTTCCAGGTTTTGGCTGCGTTGGGCGGTTAACAGCCGTTCAAATTGCACCCTCGAGGTAGAGGCTAATAACCTCTGCACTCGAGTTAATTGTCAGCAGCTTGTTGGGGGCTAGTACCCTCCAACAGTCGTGCTTTTGAGGCGTAACTGCCACCCCGTTCCTGTGTGGTTGTTGGCATCTCGGTGCGGTTAGTTCCCGTACGATTTGCTATCCGTTTGTGATTACTCGGTGTATTAGGGCTAGAACCCCCAATCTCTGCGGCTGGTCATGGCATCTCGGTTCAGTTAGTTCCCGTGCCATTTGCTATTCATTTTGTTATTCGCAGCTGTGTATTATGGCTCATACTGTGTGGTTTTTTGGCTGTTTGTACCCCTGAAATGTCAAACCTTTTTCCGCAAACTTTTGGATTAAGAAGAATAATAAATTGTGCGCCTTGTATGAAGAAACTTGTATTTGCCTGAAGATTACCAGTATACTATGAAAACTTCATCGTGATCATTACTCCTTTCTACAATGCAAGGGAATTTAGAGCCGGACCAAAGAGCGACTCTTTAGCCCTTGTGTTTAGGATCAGAACGAAAGTTGGCACACTACCCGTAAATATTTCAACTTCGCGGCGGTGTTTCCGGTTACACAAGCCATTCTAGCAAGTTCCCATCGAACACTTTTAACTCAATCTGAGGTAACTTGTACGACCTTATCTTGGCCGTGCTGCTGCATTTAGCCTGATGGGGTGCCTGCGGAGCAAGTTCATTGTAGGACTACAAGGCTTCTTCTACTTCCAACTCCATATTGAAGAATATTTTGTCGTACTCGCCACATATTTGAAATTCTTCCCTAAGGACATTATCATCAGTTTTTTCAGTAAACATGAGGTTGTGCAGCTGCTGGTTTAACTCCGACAGCTTTACCTGATTGTTCCTCAGTGCAGTAAACTTGACAGCAACATTCTTCTTGCATAGTTTCTGCCGTCAACAATTCTTGGATGGCTTTGATGCCTTTCATAAATTGGGTTTGCACAAGCCCTCTTCCTAGTCTGATGCGATCCATCACTGAAATTTTCTCTTCTCGATGTCATTCTGGGGTCACCAAATGTTTAATCTTTGATTGCTATGCATGATCTTCCTGACCTCAGTTTGCAATTCCGTTGTTCACAACAAGTTAAACTCTTCTGCTTTGATCTGAATCCAAAAGATCTTGTTATAATAATTAGTCATCAAGGATACAAAACTGATTTACACTAATTATTTACTTTATTTCACTCAAATTTTCAAGCCTCCCAAAAGTTGACCATTGAGTTTATTAATGTCACTTGCAATGTTTAAATTTTGCTGTCGTGAAAATCGATTTTGAACGGAAATAAGAGCTATTGGCAGTAAAATGGATATGAAAATGCATTGACACCAAAACTCAAACTCCAAAATACAACAAAATCAAATCTCATAATAGGTAAAACAAGGACCACATCACCATCATGTCTGTAAACACTTTAAACATAAAGTTAGCTAAGTTATGGTAGGGTTGTGCTTCAGTGATGCAGATAAATAATGCAATGGTTAAAAGAAATGTGGACAGTACAGTATTGAGGAAGACACGCACATATATATATATATATATAAATTATCTGGAAGAGCCTCACTCAGCCAACAGTATTGCAGAATTAACTAGATGCATTCAACTGTCTTGGCAGCATTTTAGTTACTTGCTTAAACTTGGCTTGAATGGAATTTAATTATTATATCTGTACTAAAACTATATGAAACAAAAGGATGCATCAGGTATAAAAATTGGATTGATGACACAGATGGCTGGAGTGGCCAAAAAGCAATAATGCCTTCTGGCAACAATGTTGTGCCTGGTATGGTAGCTACTGTTCCAGTGTTCTTTGGCACATCTGGCATTCATCTGACTAATTTTCCTTGTTTCATGCTTCAAACTTTGCACGGATTTCAATTTTTTGATTGCACTGCAGAATTAGATTTTAAATATTTTTTTTGTGCGTCCTGCAGAATTGGTGGCAATTTTTTTGCAGCCTAAGCCATCTGCAGAGTTCATTAACAGACATACAAATCAGTCTAAAGTCGCATTATTTCCATGTAGGGTTCTCAGTGTAGATATTTTCCTCACTAATATGGAGACCTGTAATATAACTGAATGATGTTGATGTAGACCTCTGCTTATTAGGTTTTGCCATAGTTTTCATTGAAGTTAATTCCATGATTCATTTATCTTTGGCAAGAATTAAAAATGGATTGAAGATGTTTAGCTTTTGTCTGTAGTTTTCAAACCAAATGTTATCAATTTCCTTCTCTTAATTCAAAGGCAGAGACATGACTACAGTATAAAGTAATCAATGATTGTTTTTTTAATTTTAATTTTCAATAACTAACTCAGTTTTTGCTCCTATGACACAAGTCATTCAAGGACATTAATTTGAAATGTTCATTTAGTTGTGTTTTTTTTCAGACTCCAAATAGTACAGATGAAAACTACCTAGACACCTTGGTACCTTCATTCTACATTTCCTCGCCTGGATTTGCTCTGTGACATTGCTTTCATTGCTTGGCTCTAAGTTGGCAGGTATGACTATGATGTATGGCAGTACAGATTTCTTAATAAATTAACTTAAGCCTGGACTCAAACTATTAAAATTTATGATATCAATCTTGATGGAGAAATGGCATTTTTCTGAGAATAAAGCTTATTTTGTTCAGGAAATGAGTTTTGAAGTTGTAATCAAAATGTCTGAATGAATTTTTAAAAATAGTTTCATGCATTCCATATTAAGCAATCAGCATCCAAAATTTTCCATCTAATCTGTTTGTGTTTCAAGTGTATATAAAAGATTGCTTCAGAAAACTCTTGTATCTGATTAATGTTGTGCTGACAGGACCCAAATATATATGTACAAATATGTAATTTTTTGCTCAGTTCAAATCATTAGTTAAACTGCAGCATTTAGAGGTCTTACTGGACTTGTGCTGCCTGTTGAAATAGTTTTTTAATAAGTTTCAATTGTAATTACTTATTTAGTTGAGTTTTTAAAAGTAAACTTGATAAAACTAGAATAAGGAATTTTAATGATTATGAGCAGTGCATGATTGTTTAAGGGGACCAGCTACCCTCCGTAAAAACTTCTACAGTTATTATCCGATCATCATGAAACTTCACATACAGACGTAAAATTTAAAAAAATAACATTTTGCTCCTATGAGTTTTCCGAAAAAATTGATAGAAAATGTGATATTCATAGAAAATGGCCAAAAACGGGTACTATTGAAAATCTATCTCCTCCTACAAATATCGTCCTACAGCATCGAGACACATATCATTTGATTTGTAAAGACTATACCTATCGACTCTGCCATCCCGTTTTTTCATTTTCCCCATAGTTTATTTTTTATGCGTGTTTTTCCCATTTTTTCCTGCCCTCCCCCCTTCTCCCCCATATATAAGACGAACCATGCACAAATTAAAAAAAAGGGATGGCTATATCGATAGGTATGGTCTTTATGAATCAAATGATATGTCTCTCATTGCTTTAGCTTGAAAACTGTAGGAGGATAGGTTTTCAAAAAGACAAAAAACAAAAATTTAAATTGTTCAGGGGAGCCAAATAAAGTAAAATTCATTGAAAACAGAAGAATATGCCCAAAAAAGCCTTGATATTGTAGCCCAAGCTTTCCCATTGCCAATTATTTGCATTCAGGGTACCAGCAAGCGTCTTTAGACCTATTTATGTCAAATTTAACGTAAATAATAAGCTATAAATTGGACTTTTTATATATAAATATATATATGAAATATTCATTTTACATAACGTTACAACTGTATTAAGCAAAAACTATTGCATGTACATCAATGGTAGTAGCTTTGTTGAACGCGTCTTGTTTGTAGCTTTCAAACGAGTGCAAACACTTTGCAATTAACCTAAATAATGACATATAAATACCATTTATTAGTAAATAATGGTATAAAATGATCATTTTATAAGAGTTTAAGACTGCATTACACAAAAAAATATTGCATGTACATCTATGGTAGTAGCTTTGTTGAACGCGTCTTGTTTGTAGCTTTCAAACGAGTGCAAACACTTAGTAATTAACAAAAGTAATGATCTATATATACAGATTTAATTCAGATAAATCTTTGTACATATTGTTGATAAATGTTCATTTTATATATTTTTAAAATTGTCTTGCACAAAAACTATAGCATGCACAGACATGTGGTAAACTGCGTTAGACACACTTTTTCAGCAGCTACAAAATGAGTCAAGAAAACAGAAAAGCCGAAATTTCCGATTTATAAGGTAGCCGGTCCCCTTAACTTTGCATGCCTAGATTAGGTTTATTGGCTTTCTTGTCATATTTGCTGAAGTGATTTAGTACTGTTAAGGAGACTGACTTGGTGAAAAATAAAAAATTTTGCCTTTTTAGCGCATTTTCTCATTTATGGAAAAAATGCACTATTGTGCTCGCCATGTCCATCCGTCCGTCTGTCTGTCTGTCTATCCGTGACCAAGTTTTTTTCGATGAGAAAATGAGCTCTCTGTCACTCACTGCAGTGAGTACTGAGTTATATTTTTTTGGTTTTTGTTATGAATTTAAAGCTTCAAATCTGTAGCATCTAATAGTGTAATTGGCATGTCTATGCGTGTGTTAGTTTGTTTGCTATATTTTTTTACTGTGCGACTATTGGTTGATTTGTATCACACCTACAGAGCTGACCAATGGTTCTTGCTAATTTTGAGCTGGCAATTTTGCTCACCTTGCCTCAGCTGTCAATGAGTGTATCAATTTAAGGGTCTCAATTTTGCACTTCCAATGGTGTAAGCTGCATGTCTACGTGTGTTAGTTTGTTCACAAGGTTGCTTTTAGTACATGACTATTGTTTGGCTGCGTGACATTAGCTAGCCTTGCACGGGCTGTGTTCAGTGTTCTGTATGCACTTCAGTGTGTCTCTAGCTGTGGTCAGTGAAGGTTCTGTGAATTTTTCTCTAACCCTTTTTTTATGCAGATCTTGAAGCTACAATGGTCCAGCAGAAGAAGTTTAATTTTGCAAAGCTTTCTAAAAAGGCACTGGTAGGAGAAATACCTGAGCCACTCACTACCCTCAATCCGCCGAAATGTCCGCAGGAAGTGCTTGCAGAAGTGCAAGCACGCGATGTAGTGGTGAATAAGGATGGTGAAGCCATGCGCTTGGTTCCTATTTCAGTGCTCAAAAAGTTGGTTAGCTATAATCCACAGTGCCCCACAATTCAGTGTGGAATTCTGTATAGGTAATATATTCTCATGTCAATTTAAGAAAACGTATCGAAATACCAACCCTACCACCGTGTTACACCACCTTCCACTGCAATGAAAATTTATAAACTGAGCTCATTGGAAACTACGTAGCGTGCTTCCGAAATCATGCGTGGTTTGAAATCCAATCCCGTGTTGCCAACGACTAATCAAGTTAACTAGTCGTTTATCTGTAGGCTTGCAGACACATTTTTGCAATGAATACGTTCTAAAATAAAAAAAAACACATCCAGCTTCATAAAAAATTCTCACGATTGGACAACACCCACAAAGTTTTCGATTTCACACAAAATTATGAGATAAACTTCCACTCTTTCACTGCTTACATTCACATGGCGTTTTCTGTTTACTTCTCACAAGACGGTGTCACAGACTTATGTTATGGTTGTGTCTAGTTTGATTTCACAATAAATAGACTTGATTCAAATTCCATTCTGAGATTTAAATGATTGAAAGTTTTTTTTTTCATTTTTTGCCTCAAATAACGATGTTGGATAGAAGAAGTGGTCTTGGTGGATCGAAATAATATATGAACCTCTGAAATTAGAATTCCATCCTGCCACAATTTGCGATCCTTCAGTGGTAGTAACTCGCATGGAACCAGGGATCTCCACTGAGTGCGTGCACTCAATGTCAAGCCAAAACCAACTTGCACTAGGCTGCTACTGTGAGTGGAGTTGACGGTTAAGTTAGTCACATCAATTTGCATGATGTAAGCCTGGTATTTCATTCAATTATTAACAGCATGCCTTTGCTGGTTGCTGACAACTTTGTGCTTCACTGTCCCTCAACTGCTTCTCAAACAAATCATTCAATTTGCACTGTTCATTTTGTCTAGACAAATGATTGCTTTCTATGCATTGAAGCAAAAGGAGATTATTTCAGGACTGAAGCATAGCTGTCAGACTTTCCAAGATTGCAACAAACTTCTTGACCTCAATGTGAGCTACGATGGAACATGGATGACTTGAGGTCGCAAGTCTCACATTGGCATCAGTTGTGTTGGTGAATGTAACACTGGCTTTGTGATAGACATTGAAGTTCTGTCAAACTTCTGCCATGCATGCTCCATGAAAGAACATACTATGTCCTCTCTATGGGAGCATTTTTAATTAATTTTTCAGAATTTTTTTCATTTTACCCCTGCCACCTCCTTTTTGCAAAATAAAATCCAAACTATAACACAATTAGAAAAAAAGCCTGCATCATTTGTAGCTCTTTTATTTGCGATTTGAACGGTATGAATTTATATCACTTGTTTGCTTAAATTGCAAATTAACTAAGAATTTAAAAGCAAAGAAAAGTCCACAAAAATTCATATCTTTGTAGAAAACGTTTCGTAGACCAGCTCCATCGTCAGTTCGTAGAATCTAGAATCACAAATCAGATGTCACAAATTAATACATTGAAAGCACAGAACAAAATTAAAAACCTAAATTTACAAGTAATGGACGGAGCAAAAAAACTATCTATTAACAATTTCAAGGGGATTGGAGCTAGCAGCTGAATTCAAACTGGGCCTAAGTTTAAAGATGTACAGTGATTCTAAAATGCGCAAATCTCGAGTCCCAGAGGTGGAAGCTAACACCCTAAAGTCACTGTCAGAAATAGGGACATCACACTGCTTGGCGTGAGCACGCACAGCCGAATGAGGTGGGCGTGATAGCAACTGTCCAGTTCTACAACTCCTGCCCTTATGCTCAGAGACCCTGGAATAAAGATTACGTGACGTCATCCCGACGTGCGCAAATGCACATTGTGCACAACAATATTGATAAACCAGGGATGATTGCATATGAACAGGGAGCATATCTTTATATATCTTTGTAAGCTTTTACAGAATGTATGCTTTAACATGAGTGTAAAAAATGGAAGTCAAAACTGGACTACCAGATAACCAAATACCCAAATAACCGTATAATGGGGAAACCTGACAACTGGGTAACCAGGCAACCGGGGCATGGGTCACTTATATGAAAGTACTTGGAGACGCTTCTGTAAAATATTTACACTATCAACACAACACATAACTATTATTAAACACAAACATCAATACAAACTTCAAAACATATATACACAATAAACTATCAAGCAGAATAGCAGAAAAATATATTTCTCATCTATAACAGTATTATTGAAAACATGACATTAAAATCTTTATCAATGAATATATGAGAAGTGATTTAAAAAAGTATATTTTGGTAACTACTAACCAACCACAGGCGGTAGTGTGAGTATAGGGTATTGTCTGATAGGAGATTTGGAATTTGCATCACCACTGACACATAAAATAATGGTCTGCAAAAAGGGCAAAGAGTATGAGATGGAGAGCATTGATAAACAAAAATAAGTAAAGTTCACGATGAAAGTCAAGATTCAAAATGATTTAACATTAACTTGGAACTGGGGGAGTGTTACTTTCCCAAGTGGGATCCAAGTAATCACCACTCTCCTGCAGTAAGAGTGACAGCCCATAACAGGGGGCAGGGAAAAATGTAGAAAAATGGGAAAATGTTCATAAAAGAAAAACAATGAGGAAAATTGGAGCTCATGCTAGATAATTTTTTAGCGGCTAGATAATTTATTAGCGGCTTGATAATTTTGTTTCAAATTGAATGAAATGTGTCATGATATTGTAGCATGTGATTTGCAAAAATTATAAATTTTTTAAAGTACCTCCCTTCTCTGCTGTTTTCTATTAATTTCATGTTTGCTTTCATTTTTTCCCGTAAAATTCATATGAGCAAATTGTTCAGTATTTAACCTTTGGGTATGTGTGTGAAATTTCAGAAAAATCAGTTGATAAATGCAGAAGTTTTTCCAGGACTGAGCCAGTCCCCTTAAAAATCAAATGAGATGATTAGCTAAGTGACAGGAACAATGCTCTATTTATCTTGCTGTCTTATAAAATTGCAGAGAATTGAGTACTATCAATTGGCCTAAAAGTTAAATTTGAGTGTTTTAATTTGGTTAATACATAATATGCTTATTTAAGTTAGATCATATTTTGCATCTTAAGTCACTCATTGACACTTAGTTCTAATCTTAAATATACCTGTTTCTCTGATACTCTATAAATTTTGTAGAGTTAGAATGCTCAAAATACTACAATTAATAGGTTGTTTGATTTTAAACTTCTTTTGTGTTCATCCTTTAATTCTTGATTGTGTTGAATTAGCTTGATATTTCAAGCAGTACTCATCCCACTGAACCATGTTCCATTTTTCTCTTTTTCAGAACAAGCAGCTTCTGCTGTTGCAGTCTGGCCTGGAAACTTGATGAGCATGGACCATAAAGGAAATATTGGCAAGAATTATAAAATATATAATGTAATGGATAGTGAAGGTAGAGAAAATGTAAGAATTAAAAGGTTGCATCAAGATAATGATGAACCAAGAAGAATAAAATCTCACAAATTACATCATCTTGATGATGAAGCAAAAAGTAAATTTGCTCAAAGTGTAGCAAGTAAGCTTCATCTTGAAAAATTTAACTGTTTTCTTTATTGCCATGAAGGCAGCAAAATGTTTGAGGTTGTGTATGAAAATCAAGTTCATTGTAGTATGTCAAGCATTTTATGTGGAGCTGGAGCTAAAGCTAAAGAAGCTTTTGTGGATTTATATAATCTTTGGTTTGATAAAAATGGGAATCCAACAAAATATTTACTAACTCTTGCAGGGAATGGCATTAAACTCCCTAACATGTCCAGTATTCTAAACGGAGCAGGTACAAAAGCCAAAACAGCTTATGAAGATCTCTATAATCTTTGGTTTGACAAAAAAGGAAAACCAACAAAATATTTACTAACTCTAGAAAAAAATGGAGTTAAACTACTGAATATGTCAAGTATTTTGAATGGAACTGGTACGAAGGCTAAAGCAGCTTATGAAGATCTTTATTATATTTGGTTTGATAATGAAGGCACTCCTACTAAATATTTGCAAACTCTGGAAAAAAATGGAGTGAATTTGTCAAATGTGTCTAGTATTTTAAGTGGAACAGGAACAAAAGCTAGGCAAGCTTTTGAAAATCTATATAATCTTTGGTTTGATCATGAAGGAAATCCAACTAGATATATTCTAAGTCTGGAAAGAGAAGGGGTTAGTCTATCTAATATATCTAATGTTTTACATGGATCAGGAAATAAGGCTAAACAGGCTTTTGAGGATCTTCATAATTTGTGGTTTGACCGTGATGGAAATCCCACTAAATACTTACAAGCTCTGTGGAAAAATGGAGTGAGCTTGCCCAATGTGTCTAGTGTGTTACATGGAACAGGAGCAAAAGCTAAGCAAGCATTTGTAAATTTGTTTAATCTTTGGTTTGATAGCAATGGAAATCCAACGAAGTATTTACTAACTCTTGAGAAAAATGGTGTAAATTTAACCAATGTATCCAGTATTTTGAGTGGAACAGGAGTTAAATCAGATCAAACTTTCAAGGATCTTTATCACCTCTGGTTTGATGATGAGGGTAATCCTACCAAATATTTGAATGCTCTTGACAGAAATGGAGCAACTTTACATAATATATCTAATATTTTGCATGGAACAGGGAGTAAAGCTAAAAAAGCTTTTGAGGATCTATATAACCTATGGTTTGATAGGCATGGAAATCCAACTAGATATTTACAAGCTCTAGAGAATAATGGGGTGAATCTATCAAATATTTCTAGTATTTTGAGTGGCACTGGAGTTAAAGCCAAACAAGCTTTTTTGAATCTTTTTAATCTCTGGTTTGATACTGATGGGAATCCAACAAAATATTTAGACAATTTCACTAATGCAGGCTTCAAGATTAATAATTTATCAGGTAGTTTGAGTGGAGCTGGACTTCACGCTTATTCTGCACTAAAAGATTTTCATGAGACTTGTTTTGATGAGAATGGTAACAAAACAAAGTATTTAGGGGATTTCATGGAAGCAGGTTTCAAAATGCGCAACATATCATGTGCACTTTGTTCATCAGGAACTAATTCAGCATCCACTTTGAAAAAATTACATACTATTTGTTTTGACAATGAAGGGAATTCAACAAAATATCTCAAAGATTTTACAAAGCCTGGCATCAACTTCAGGCCACGTGATTTATGCCTCATCCTCAGTAAAGGTGCTGATAATTTTACAAAATTTCATGATATTTGTTTTGATGAACGAGGCAATCCAACAAAATATTTGAGTGATTTCATCAAGATAAGTTTTACACCAAACCTCTTATCCAGAGTGTTGCATGGAGCAGGAAATAATATTTGTTCTGCTCTGAAGGATTTTCATGAAGTTTGCTTTAATGTAGATGGGAGCATAACAAAATGTTTAAATGATTTCATTAAAGCAAAGTTTACACCATACAATTTAAGCAAAATATTGTTCATATCAGGGTCTAATGCTGCATCCGTTTTACTTGATTTCCATAATCTATGTTTCATTAAAAAGAAATGTTATATAAATCATTTCTTGGCTGTAAAAGAAGTCTTTGATATAAATAAGTTATCTAATCAATTATTATGCGGAGCAGGAACCAAAACTTGTTCAGTTTTTCAAAAATTACATGATATATGTTTTGATAATGAAGGAAATCTGACAGAATATTTTAATACCTTGACTGCTGAACATGAGACCAAAATAATTCTTGATTTGTTATACAACTCAACAAGAAATACATGATATATAAATCCTTGATATAAATTAATTGTAGTAATGTCCTGGGAGTTCTGTGGCTGATGTAGTAACTATTGTTCAAAATTATTGGATTAGTGATTAAAATATGGTGAATGATTAATCAAATTCTAGATCCAGTTAGTATGACGTAGATAATTTACAATGAAAATGAGTTATTTTCCATTAAAGAGAAAATTATGGAATTATTTAATCATGATATTTTATTAATTATTGATCCACTCAATTCATTACATCTGAGTTGTATTGCAGTTTTGAAAAAATAGGGGTGCTATTCTTATTTATAGATCATGGAACGGAATTTTGTATTTTGTAATGTAGTATTTTGCAAGCAACAATGATTTTTGCATTATTTATAATTTATAATATTCTCAAATCAAATTTACCATTTGTATAATTGCAGTGATTAAAAGTCTGTAGAATTCATATTTGGTAGGACAAGATTAGAAGAACTACTGAAATTTCATGCTGCAAAAATATTTATCCATATATAAATCTCTACATTTCTAAATATAAAATTAATAATGCTGCTCTAGGTGAAACGACTGATTAGAGTCATTGCTACTATTAAAGTATTAACGTGGGCGCGTTAGCAGCAATACGCACACTTATTATATATAGGTGCTAATTTACACTTGCTGCATGAGCTTCATCCATTAATTATCAATTACCCGACTTGATTTTAAAGTGTCTTGTATTAGGAACAAAAGGCTGTGTAAATAAAAATTTATAATGAATCTTTTTTTTAATATGATAAGAGAATCTTGTGCAACTTATATTATTCCGTAACTCATTTAAGGTTTATTTGTAATTCTTCACTTAACTACCCTTGAAACTCGTGTTTCAACTCAAGGAAGGTTGTTACAGTTGATGTGAAATCTATGTATAAATATTGATTTATATTGTGTAGTATCAGGATCATCCAGGTGCTAAGGACCCACTGCTTCATTGCTAGACAGGTAATTTATAAGTTGACCTTTACGTATATGTTATTGCTGAACTTATTTAATGTATGATTGTCGTCGGCTTCAGGTTTATTACTCGAGTACCTGATGTTGACCACGTTGTGATCTGGTAGAGCATCTTGATGAGCTGCTGTGGTGCAGTGGTGAGAGACTCAGTCTCTCGCACGCAGCTCCCGGGATCGAGTCTCACTGAGGACAAGTACTTACACGAAGTCACGAAGTTCAGCTCATGGCCAAATAAGCCTTTCATCTAATTCTGGTGGATAAATGAGTACCTTGCTTGTCCAGTGTGTTGGGTAACGCAAATATGGTTCTGGCGGGTCAGCCGGTCAGTGATGGTCATAGACTACCAGTACCCTGACTGCCCTGAAAAACTGACCTATCACCACCTCCCCCCCCCCCTTCCTTGTCGCCACTACTAGGATGGGCAACTACAACAACAGCAACAAAAGGTACCTATCTACACGATCCACTTGAACGCAAGCTTGAGCCGGGTTCAAAGAAATGCTGTCACACATGATCAAATCCCCAATACAGCGTGATGAACTTCTGAATTTAGTAACTTCCTAGCACAAGTACAACTGAAGTGTAGTTGTAACTGAATTGTAGAATTTTCGAGCATCTGAAGTTTTGTAACAATGCAAGTAGAGTAGTACTAGTTATACATTGATAATAATAAATAAATTACTGTGTGCGCGTGGAAAATTAATCCACTAGGCCTGTCGCATATGCTGAACATGGCATAACTTTGACAGCTTACTGCGGGTCTTGAACACGTAACTCAGTGCTCCTGTTGCGGCGCTCTGAACTTGTACTACTTGGCACCCTGTCGTAGCATCGTGAGGACAGCTTTGTTACGGCTTTGTTGGCCTCGCGCCGATTTGTAATCACCCGCCACCTGGCCGATTTTGACCACAAAAATTCCGCTAATAATAGCGAGCTTACAACCCCAACTCGCTGCTCTATTGGCGACCATAACCACTCGGCCAAGAGTGGTTCATAAATGGCAGCACTAAAATATCCAACCCTTTCGCGATCATCCTCATTTATTGGACGGCGCTCGGCCATACCCCCGAAAGGCGATAAATTTTTTTTATTAAAGCATGTCTCCTTCCATTTGGGGGCTTTTGCTCTCAGGCTTGGCCAACTAAGGCTTGTCATTTTGAATGTGATACAGCCGATTGAATCAATTCGAATGCAGTTAATTTATTCAATATGATTAATGTATTTAGAATACGAAATGAATAAAAAGTCAGTTATTTGTAAAATGAAAGCTGCTTTTTCATTATGTATAAGTAAGATCTTTTCAGATAGTTACAATGGATCCGGGTTACTAAAAGCTAATTCAAATTTAACACCATCGTTCTGGTAATTCTTTAGTTTTAAATTTTGTTTAAAATCTACTTCGAAAAGTAGCCTTTAGCTCAATTGTTGCGAGATAATTACATATGCGCTCTCTTATTAACAACAGAGGCGCTATTATTCTTTTCAAGTATTCAAGCCAAGTTACCGTCCGTGGACGAGTGGCGTGCAAGGAACCTTCTTAGTTTTTAGTTTTACCCACTTACCATTACGATTGAGGTTTTACTTACGCAGTTACTACGGTTTATTCGCTGCACATAATAAATTATTCGAATAAAAATGTCAAGAATGACTGTAGTTAGATTAATACCGACAAATCTCGAAATGGGCAGAGATGGCCCAGTGGTTGCAATTTTAGAGTACTATTATTATTATTAATTCTATGAAGCAGTTATCGTGACGTCTGATTCAAACGCACTTCGAGGACGGCACGTTACACACTAGTTTGATAACGAGCAGAAAAAAAGAGTATCAGGATTGGGGCAGTGAGTTGTGTGTTTGAAAATCCAGAGAGCTGTGAGAATTCTGCGATGTCTAGAATGATCGACAGGCCAAATTCGACGTATACAACGCTGACACTTTATTTTTTATTTCTATATGTTGCATAAATGGCGAAGCTATTCAGATGCTGTAAAATTTTTTGCTCATTCCGATTAATTACCACATATTTTAACCCCACTACTGAAACCCCGCGTTCGATACTTAAAGTTGACTTCTAATAATAATAAAGGTACTGAGAGTTGTAGGGCATATGTGAGAAATTTTAGTTGCCGCCCGTTCTTCGTTCCAAGCAGCTGCAATACTTTATTTGAGGTCACATGTATGTAGGAGCGTTATTAATGTTGTTTGTGGTCTCTATTCGTTAAACCCTGTAAATTTAAGTTTCCCGATCGTACTTTACAAGGATTGTAATCTCCAAATGATTTGGATCCCATAATAAATAACGTATTTTGAATAAATAGAATAACAAATAGAATAAATGTTCAGAACATTAGTCTAAAATGGAGCTGAGAAAAGGAAGCCTCCGACTTTTACGGAGACATAGAAATTTGCAATCTTCGAAAGTTTTTGTTTGATGAAAAAATCGTTAGTGTAGTGTATTACGCATTAATTGAAAACGTTTGCGGGCCAATCAATTATTTAGAAAAAACTAGCGCGGTCGCGGCAGGAACAATGCAATAAGAAAGATAGATCCAAGCAACATAATTTTTATGCCTGGATGTACACTTAGATCGATGGAATCAAGATTTTCATAAGCACGCCATATAATCATAAAGCATAAACATAAAAAAAAACAATGGTACGAGGACGTAATATTAAAGAATTGATATCAAAAGAGGATAATGTTCCATTCGTCAAAAGGAAGTTGAGCTTTCAAGACGAAAAAAGATCACAATAACAATGTTTTAGACGAAATATCGTTTTCTATTCACTATGAATTAGGCCCATGAAGTCAGCACTGAAAATTCCTACTACACAATTGATCGCCGATTAGCCCTAAATAGGAATAAAAGCTTGAATATCTGTAACAGCATATTACGTTCCGATTCAAAGTATGGCCTTCATCCTTAGAGGTTCTTCCCCTACATATTTATCTCAGTGAAATTTCCCACGAAAATTATACGCCTTGGAAATAATAATGATCAGTCTATTAAGACGTAAGAAAATCTACTTGAAGAGGAGATGAATAAAATTAGTCCTTTTGAATATATGTACGGTACACGACATAAAAGAAAAATTTTACTTATCAGATGTCATTGAATTGTTCATTCTAAAGTAAGCAAATAACACAAAAAAGCAGAAACAATTAATTATAAGCAAGTTAAACATAGGCCATTAATGCTCAAGCGAAAAAAACAAGTGATTAATGAATACAATGCCAGTATGAAGTCATGTCGCCTTATTAATGAAGCTACAAGAGGACATGTTTACCCTTTCCTCTCTGAAGGTTCTCTTCTAAACACTTGACAGATCTCATGCAACCGTTTGAACAAATTGCTGCTATTGCCCAGAAGAAATAATTTACGTTACTACAAGAAATACCGTGAATGTACAATTCCAATTTAACGATATCAACAGATTACCTTGAGATCTCTATCCGAAAATCAGCTGATGCATAAATTATTTGATAATTACTATTTTCTAACTAAATACACTAAACAGTTTTCTTGTCTCTTCTGAACTTGAAGAGTCCAGAATTTACGAATATAAAGATCTTAGAAAAGTCTACAGCTTCAATAATAAGATATGGACAAATGACTGGGAATGTCAGCCCCGGAGATCATCAAAATAACAGTTAATTGTTGTTAGATCAACCAACATCATTATTGATCCGACTGCTATGTACCGACCATCCATACAAATGAAAAATTTTCGGATTTTATACAACTTAGAGAGTAAGACTCCGTTAGGGCGATACATTAACAATGTACATCAAGAAATGAAGTGGCATGAATGCAGGTATGATGGTGTGAGAACCTTCTTAATTTTGAGGACAGCGTCAAGAAAGATGGGCTATTAGGCAATATCATGACAATTCTGACTATACAAAATAACACTAACAGGAATACGATAGGTAAACATCATAACTATAGATTATTTTTCACAGAACTACATAACTAGGATCATTTGCCAACAGGCATGGAATATTCTATTTCTCGTATCAGAGAAATAATCTTGACTTTTGAATTTCAACAGAAATTGTAAATCAAGGGGTTCAACTGTCACCTATCAATAATATCCTCAGCAATCATGAAGATATCAAGGCGAACTGTAATTAACAATTTCTACCTAAAGTACAGCATGATTTTACATACTTGGCAGTGTTGAACAACACATAATTGCAATTAAGATGAGCTATCTTTCTTGGACAATGCCATTCGGTGCATCAAGTGTTATGGTACACAAGAGATTATTTGGGTGTCGTTTCTTAAATAAAAATAAACTTCGGGATCCTATCAGGATATGAGTGGAAAATTACGTGTTACTTGATCATAAATTGTAGGAGTATGGATATAATTTTAAAGCCGCTTTTGAAATTGGATAAAAGTGTAACCAATTATTTCTTGTTCATCTCTATGTGCTATCAAGATGACGGAAAGATCCACAGTTGCACCAATTGCATCGTCCACAGGAATGCACGGTAGCCGAGACGTTTTCATCGACTCAGAACTGAAATAGAAGGTAAAAATTGTCAATAAAACTTCCAACTCTTCCCTGGGCCACAGAGGAAAGTGCACGGCAAGAAATTTATTTTCCCTTTCCCATTACAAAAAGTAGATAGCCATTTAATTATTAAGAGATGATAAGCCACCCAATGATGGATAAAGATTTAAAAATAATAATCAACGACATTAAATAGAAACCTCAAATACTTTAGAGGAATCAATGATAAACTAATTGAAATTAAGAAATCATATATATACCAGTTTTCTATTGAGTAGAGCAATTTAATATGAAGAATCAGCAAATAAAAGAAAAGAAGACATTAAAAAGAATTGATACAAATAATGATGATGATTTGTAAACAAAATAAAAAAACTGACTCAGTTATTGCACAAAACCTCATCGCTAGTAATAGCCTAGAGTGTTGAGCGACACTTGAGCGAGACGTTGCCACAAACAATAAGCGTTCAACTCACCCTCTTGAGGTACTCCAAAGCACATTCTCTGGCCCTGGCATTGACAGCCAGCTTCATCTCGCTAATCTCCTTGTCAATCTCTTCCATAAAATGAATTACAAAATCAACGAGCTTGTGCTTGTACATTTGCTCCGTGTGGAAGTTGGTGATGAGGAAGGAAATGTTGTAGCCTTCAACTGGCTTGCGTCTCAGAATGATGAAATTGTCAGCCCGCATCATAAGGAACCTGAAAAAGAGGCCATATTATAGTACTTACTATCAATGGACCACCTTACATATCAACAATGATGAAAGGGAATGCAAATGCTGTAATAACTAACAAAACAAGAGTTACCAGGAGCATAATTTAACCCTTATACGTATATCTGAGTATTCACTCACAGACAAAACTTAAGTTCAAATTGTTGCAAAGCAATTTGAAGTTAAATAGTTAATAGCTGAATTCATGAATACATTACCTCATAAACTTGTGACACAATATCCTCTCGATGTCATCAGCCTGCTTGATGGCTATGGAGACTCTAAGAGAGTTTATTGAAGGTTCAATCAGGACTCGTTCTTTCTCATTGCGGCTCACCACAACAGGTGTCATCACCAGCTCCTTGCTGGATCGCACCTCAACCTAAAATAGGATATGGAACTCTTCAGTAAATCCTTACACTTGAATATTCAACTTTATCCTTTATCTATTGACAATAATTTAGTCATGTATTTAGATACAAATATCACTGGTGATTGTCAGTGTATCTACAGACAATGTCATTTAGTTTGAAAAAATGTGATATCTAAAGATCAGTCTAACCAAAAAGTCAGACAAACAAAAAAATGAGTTTTAAATTTTTAGATTGATTGGTTACTAAATTCATTTTTCTGTTATATATGTATAAATATTACATAAAAATGTTGTAATTGGTAAATTCTAAAAACAAACAATTTCAGCAATTTTATTAATGTTGAAATAGTATGAAAAATTACTTTGATATTTGATCATTTATTTAAGGAATAAAGCATGACATGATTGAACCATGAAGTAGACACCAATGTTGCTCTACGTGGTCAAGTGATGATAGCAAGGGTTTTTTAATGTAATCAATGGATTGAAGTGTGCCGTGCTTGATTAACAAAATTACAAATAGCATAAGGAGGGTGACAACTTAGCCCAGCGCTTGATGGTGTTTGTTTTTTAGTTTGCAGCTATGCCTAAACTGATGAGTTAATGAATGATAAAAATAGGATCTAATCTATAAATATATCTTTTGGCCACTTCAATTCTTAAAGTTATATAGATTAGGCATTATGCAACACATTAAATATTTATCAAGAGATAATAATTAAGTGGCATAAAAGCAAAGATATCACCAGCACTGTTAACTCCAAACATTTCGTCTATGGTTGTGCAATTAATTAATAAATTATTTGACAAGATTGACACAACAAAATCAGATCTTAAACATATCATGAGTCTACTGGAATAATTTGAGTTCAAACCTCAGGTTTGTTGTGTCTTTCCACCACTTGGCTGTTGAAGTTGTGCAGACAAATGGCAGCAGAGAGTGTGTGCCTCACTGCAGTTAAGTAGGGGCGCAGTGTGGTGGACTGAAAATAATGTGCAATTTTTTAAATTATAGTATGTACCTAAATATATTTCAGGACTATTATCATAGAAAAAAAGACATATACAATGAACATTAGTGAAGCATAAATTTTTACAAAATTTACTTAGATTCAAAATTAAAAAAATTTACTGCAAGATTAAAAATGTATAAAAAATTTCATGACTTAGGAGCCAGCCAAAAGATTTCATTCACATGTAGGAAGATTCCATTTTAAATTTTGAATAATAAGGCAGAAACCACCTATGAGTTAGAAAAAAGCATCCAGGCTTACAGTCAATTTTACCTTCTTTTATGGCCCTAGCCTGATTTTTAGATCGAAAAGATATATATTTTATTTTGGCAACTTTTGAAAATTTGCTACCATCAGCTGGGGTGACTTTGGCCACTGGGAGTGACTTTGCCCACCACTACAACAGAAACAAATTGCAGCAAAACATAATAAAAAACATTGGCCAAAGTGACTGGGGTGACTTAGGCCAACATTTATTATTTTGCTTTGCTGCCATTTGTTTCTGTTGTAGTGGTGGCCAAAGTCACCAGTTGACAGTACATACCTATCTAGTTTTTACCTGTACCATTTGGAAAAATTTCACTAACTATTCTAGATTAGCCATAGCCAGAACCTTTAGCTCTCAAGATATTGGCGTTTTTGTGAGGATTTTTATCCATGACCTTGACTCCACTTTAGCATCCAAAGATAACTTGCCAAATTTCATTGAAGGAAAACTGGTGTCTACCTTTTACACCTACATTTTTTGTTTGTATCTCAGAGTAAAATTGACATCTGGAGTATAAATGAACAATTGGGCAGTAGTTTTTATTTACTTGTGATTGCTGTACCAAAAGAATTTCAGACATTTGTCCTAGCATTTTAATGTTACACAATATACCTACAAGTAATGAATACCAAACAATAAGCTGGGGTGTTCCCCATATGGTCTAAAAGATTGCAGAGTAATATTTGAGAAACAGGTTGACTCAACATAGATGGAACATGGAAGAAGGATAATTATTCAGTGGTCCTAAAATATGATTATTGCTTTCCCAGTTTTATTAACATGGCATGGATATTCTTTTGTACCCGTGTTCTAGGTTTTGAACTGACGATGGAGCTGGATTCCAAAACGTTTTCTCTTATAAGAAATGGTGAACTTTTTGGCTATTTTCTTTACTTTTAAATTCCTGATTTGCTGTGTTTACCAGTTAATATATTACTCCTCTGGAATTCCACACTGCCCAGGGTGGTGTCCCTTATTAACCTGTCCTACGGAAATGGCCGCCATTTCTTTTTTTAACGAGTTACAAGAATTCCAGCAGTCACATTTTTAAGCCAACACCTGTGTATCAAGCATGGTGGTATTTTAGGAAGTGGTTGGTCATTTACATCCACAAGAATGGCTGGAGCGCTTCACAATTGAGAGTGGGGGTACAATTCAAGGGCCCAGCAAAACTGCTAATGGTTAAGGATATGGCAGTGATTTGGCATTTGGGTACAGGAGGGCTCCTATTTTGGCCACTGCGCTCCTCACTACAATCTACATAGGTAATGCTCACTTAGAAGGCATTTAGAATGCCACCATGGACTCACTATCAAGTGTTGGAACAAAAAATTTTATGCAAGTAAAATTTTTTGATACAGCAAATTTTTTTTTTTTTCTACAGACCTTAGCAGAGGTACATTTCCAAAATCTTACTTTTCATACTTTTTTTCAGGGATTTTTTAAACGTAGTAAATGTATTATGTATGACATCTTAACTTACTTTATGCTACATACCTAGAATTCCTAGATAGTAAAAATGTTGAACTTTATACTACTATTTTTAGTTTTGCAATATTTTGATTAGGTTAGCTGCTACAACACTTCTATGAAATGTGGGACAACTGTCCCCACACTCAGGATGATGTAAGTTTTCACAGAATTTTCCTGCACATTTTGACTTTTTTTAAGCCATTGCTGCGCACAGTCAGCGCAACTTCTGGCCATCCCTGCTTGCACATGCAGGTGTTGGCGCAGCGTGCAGATACATTTTGTCAAGGGACAAGAAACAGAAAACTTGTAATACTCAATATGCATTTAATTATCCATCAATAATCTATGATTTTCCTTGATATGGAATTTTTCTTAAAGTAAAAATCTAGAAATTTATTTTCAAGAATTTTCTACAAATTTCTTATACAGCAATCCCTTGATTAACGCGGTTAATAAATCCCCGAGTTTTACCGTGTTTAGCAAAACCGCGCTAATCAAGCTTAAGAATATATGGGAATAATTATAATGAATCCTCAAAAATAGCAAAGTTACATAATAATTTTTTTTCCACTAAAATTCATCATATTTTTTTTATAAATAATAGGGGAAATAAATAAAAAAAATGTGAATGAATTAACATTTATTTTTTACTGAAAAATGAATCCAATTTCAATTGCACAGTAGATTTCTTTCTCTCCTGCATAATTGTGCGATAGCAATTCACTTGCCTATCCAGGCCATGGCAAACATTCATGCTTCTTTCTTCATTTGGGTCTACTAAAAGTGAGCAGTAGATATGGCAGCGATCTTGACCAGTTGAAGGCTAATGAGTAACTAGAGCACCGGCATGGCGCACTTACCGGCGAACGTTGCCGAACTCGACCATTCGAGTTATGAACGAGACAAGGCGCGGTTAAACCAACTCTGTAGTCAGCACGAGTGCCTACGGAATGGGACCTTATTTAAAGAATTATTGGCTAAAATTCATAAAGTAACAACATTTGGCGAATTTTTCCAAAAGTTGTAACAAAAGTAACAACATAAGATCTAATAAGCAAAAAGTAACACTTTTGTTACGAACGAAACACCTCTTGCTAGAGGCAGGAAAATGATGCGTTGTGAAAAAAAAGTCGCGCTAATCAAAACTGGCACCGCGTAGATTAAGGGTAGGTCGCAAATTTTTCTTCCGCGTTAATCAAAACCGCGGTATTCAAAACCGTGCTAATCAAGGGATTGCTGTACAAACTGACAAACATTGCTTGTTTACCTTCCGTAGACTGTCCAGACGTGAGGCAATATTCTGTCCGGGACCGGACCGGACGTGAGGCAAGTGGTGAATAACCAAGTCCTCAGAAATTGGGCATATGAAGTAAACAAATATTAGTGCTAAATGATAAATTTTGCTTGTTCTATATATACTATTAGTGCGCTGATAGGGTTATTAAAGCTTCTACAGTTAATGAAAGGAGTCAGAAATAATTTCATCATTTTAATTAATGGAAAATAGTTTTGAGTGCGAAATCTTTTGTAAATAAAATATGTCTAGACATAACTGTTATCAGAAATTCCCAACATCGTCTTTACTTTTACGCAATGCTGATTCATTGTCATGTGCCATGTGATGAGTCTCTTGAAGCTATTTATATTTTATTAATGTTTGTTGTTAGTCTATATAATTAACCTTCAAAGTTGCAAAAAATGAGAACTGATAATTTAAAAAAAAGTAAGGTGCCTGTATTTTTGTTTTCATTGGGTTTGCACTACACAAACCCATTTCTCCAGCCGGGAGGATGTTGGAAACATAATGTAGAACCAATCTCAAACCATGTGAATTGTCGCCTTCTACTATTCAGTTTTGTAATTAATTTCCAAATTCCAACTAAATTGTGATCTATGAATAATGAATAAATATTCATAACTGTAGGTCGACTCTTAGAACCTGAGTTAACACGTTAGAAATCTAGTCAACTCGATGCAGATATTTGTTTGTGTGATAGGGTAAACACAGTATATTCCGACATCGTGGGTAATTCCGTCACCTCTCTAGTTTTTCCTTTATATTAAGCTTTGTTTTAGTTCCATGCGTTCATTGATGGTTGAAATGGTGACGTCATACATTTGCGCGTTTGTTTGTATAGGAAGAATATTATGGTTTGAGACTTTTAAATACGTCTGTGAATATATTAGGAATCCTTTAAGTATACTTGTATTTGCTGATTTCAAGTGGTAAATAAATTAATAGATGATTAATTTGAGAAATGGATTTAGACACATGAAACCTAATTCCGTCACAACTTGAATTGGACACACACAGATCGTTCCAAGCTATGTTGTTATGGGCTGTCACTCTTACTGCTGGAGAGTGGTGGTTACCTTGATCCCACTTGGGGAAGTAACGCTCCCCCAGTTCCGAGTTAATGTAGTTGTTTTTAGAATCTTGAAATTCATGGTAAACCTCAATATTTGTGTTGTCAGTGCTCTCCATCTCATTCTCTTTGCCCTTTTTGCAGACCATTATTTCATGTGTCCGTGGTGATTGAAATTCCAACTCTTCTATCAGCCGTTACCTTATATTTACTACTACCTCTTCTTGGTGAGTAGTAGTTGCCAAAATATACTTTTTAAATCATTGCTCATATATTCAGTGGTAAAGATTTTAATGTCGTGTTTTTGAGAATACCATTATAGATGAGAAATATATTTATCTGTTATCCTGCTTGATAGTTTATTGTGTATATATGTTTTGAAGTTTGTGTTGATGTGTTTATTAATAGTTGTGTTAGGTGTTGATAGTGTTAATATTTTTCAGAAGCATCTTCAAGCACTTTCATGAGCAACCCATGCCCCAGTAGTCTGGTTGTACGGTTGTACCGTTTGCCCGGTTGTCCGGTAGCCCGTTTGTCCGTTTGTATGGTGGTACAGTTGCCAGTTTTCCGTTTGCCTGGTTGCTAGTTGTACAGTTGCCGGTTGGCCGGTTTAGGAGTTATATGGTTTTTCAAGTATACAGTTGATGGTTTTCCAGTTACCCAGTTAATTGGCTAGGTTCTTTGATTTAGGTTTCCCTACCTTGTTTAAATTTTAAGTTCCTTAATTAAATCTTGTATTAGAATTAAATAAAGTTGAAGAAAAAGAGAAAAAACACCTGGTGGACAGGGATGGCTATAAGGGGAGTTGGGAGGCCATCTTTTATTTAACCCTTTTGAGTCTTGAAGAACCTTGAATACCTTCCCTCACTTAACCAATAAAGACGACCCATTACATTTTGGCGCCCGAACAGGGACTTAAAGTTTTCCTTCCATTAGGTTTACTGGGAACTTAGTTGTTAGGACTTTGAATTTAGATATGGCAAGTACACCGGCCGGGGCATGGGGAGCTGTTGGGCTGGAGCAAGGAGCTACAGCTATACTTGATGGTGGAGCACCGGTGCACCACCAAAATGGTTTCTCTTGTGCGCCACCCGAAGTGGAACCTGATGAGCTTTCTGATCCTCAATTGCGTCATCGAGAGGCACAACGCATCAGTCTCAGTGTTTCTGAGGATACACGTTTTGATGAAGGCCAGGAAATTGCTGAGACCAAGAGAGTTGGAGCAATCCCAAAGAAGTCTCAAGCCAGTGCTGCAATGCGTCCAACGCTGAGAATTAACCAAGGACCAACTGAGTGTGACCTTCCAAGAGGTGCAGAAAACGTCACCATTAAGGAGGACTTGATTAGGGAGGATGATTTGATGTTCTTTGTGCAACTTCAGTCTTTCTTCCTACAAATGACAAGACATCGTGTTCGAGGTGATTTTCTAAATGGACTTATAATCCAGTTGGATGACCCAGAAATGATTCTCTTCACTCTCGATCGCATGAAGGAGATGTTCTTCCCACCATTTGAGGTAGGGATGAATGATCAACATCCACATCTGAAAGCTATTAAATTTCATATCCAGCATCTGAAGGAGAGATCACCTCTGCGTTTTGAGCTTGCATCTCCATCAGTCCAGCTGGATGAATACTCTTACTCAGTTTGGAGTAAACTTTTGCATGAAATGATGAATAGCCCCTATTGGCAGACTATTGACTGTCACTCTGATTTTCTTGTTGCACTGCGGGATGAGAACAATAACCCTGCGACTTCAGCCACTAATGCAAGAAGCCATGAAAGCAAGCACGATATAGTTGGCTCAGACCAATTGGAGATGCCTGCACGACGACCACGGCAGTTGCGTCCAACGGCATGTTCATCTCCTAAGCGGCATTCTGGTTTCCCACGCGTGAACGTTGCGATTGAGGAAATTGTCATCGACTCGTCTGACAGCTCTGAGGATGATGAAGAGAACTCCATGCATCGAGCATCGCAAGCTGTACGGTTTCGAGTGGTGACCCCCCCAACATTTGATGTAGGAGGCTCGTATAGCCTGCGCAAGTATCTAGAAATCTTTGAGAGATACTTTCATGCCAAGTTCCGCAGTGGAGAGAGGGAATGTTCTATGGAGCTTGGTCGATTCCTTCAGGGAGAAGCCCTGAATGCTTACCATGCATTTGGTGGTTGTGAGAAGCGCTATTCTGTGTTAAAGGGAAAATTACTAGAATGGTATCGGACCAGAGAAGTTCATGGATCTCGTCGATGGAAAAACGAAATGAAAACCATGAAGTTCCAGACTGGAGAGACATTTAAACTGTTTGCAATGAGAGTCCAGGAGGTGGCACAGAAGGCCTACCCCGGTGACGACCGTGAGTGTATCAAGAAGATGATGGAAGTATTGTTGCAGGGAGCATAATTGAGCTAGGTTTTAGCACATCCCTTACTGCCTTCTCCCATTTAGCTGATTTTAACCTATATCTGATGTATTCATTATTAACATTGCCATGTTTCTCTTATCTCGTTCCAGCTTCAATTTATTTGTGTTATGGGCTGTCACTCTTACTGCTGGAGAGTGGTGGTTACCTTGCTCCCACTTGGGGAAGTAACGCTCCCCCAGTTCCGAGTTAATGTAGAGTTGTTTTTAGAATCTTGAAATTCATGGTAAACATCAATACTTGTGTTATAAGTGCTCTCCATCTCATTCTCTTTGCCTTTCTTGCAGACCATTATTTTATGTGTCAGTGGTGATTGATTAAAGTTCCAAATCTCCTATCCGCCATCATATCGTACTCACACTACTGCCTGTGGTTGGTGAGTAGTAGTTGTCAAGACATAGGTACCTTTTTAAATCACTTCTCATATATTCAGTGGTAAAGATTTTAATGTCGTGTTTTTGAGAATATCATTATAGATGAGAAATATATTTATCTGTTATCCTGTTTGATAGTTTATTGTGTATATACATATGTTTTGATGTTTGTATTGATGTTGTGTTTATTAATAGTTGTGTTAGGTGTTGATAATGTGAATATTTTACAGAAGCATCTTCAAGTACTTCACATAAGTGACCCATGCCCCATTTGTCTGGTTGTACGGTTGTACCATTTGCTTAGTTGTATGGTTGCCAGTTGTCCGGTTCAGGAGTTATATGGTTACTCAAGTATATGGTTAATGGTTTTCTAGTTTCCCAGTATTTGGTTAGTCTTTTGTTTTAGAGCTCTCTTAGGTTTAAATTTCAAGTCCCTTTATAATGAAGTTTTGTATTAGAATTAAATAAAGTTGAACCAAAAAGAGAAAAACACCTGGTGGACAGGGATGGCTATAAGGGGAGTTGGGAGGCCATCTTTTATTTAACCCTTTTGAGTCTTAAAGAACCTTGAATAACTTCCCTCACTTAACTAATAAAGACGACCCATTACATTTTTGGCGCCCGAACAGGGACTTAAAGTTTTCCTTCCATTAGGTTTACTGGGAACTTAGTTGTTAGAACGTTGAGGGTAGATATGGCAAGTACACCGGCCGGGGCATGGGGAGCTGTTGGGCTGGAGCAAGGAGCTGCAGCTATACTTGATGGTGGAGCACCGGTGCACCACCAAAATGGTTTCTCTTGTGCGCCACCCGGAGTGGAACCTGATGAGCTTTCTGATCCTCAATTGCGTCATTGAGAGGCACAACGCATCAGTCTCAGTGTTTCTGAGGATGCACATTTCGATGAAGGCCAGGAAATTGCTGAAACCAAGAGAGTTGGAGCAATCCCAAAGAAGTCTCAAGCCAGTGCTGCAATGCGTCCAACACTGAGAATTAACCAAGGACCAACTGAGTGTGACCTTCCAAGAGGTGCAGAAAACGTCACCATTAAGGAGGACTTGACTAGGGAGGATGATTTGATGTTCTTTGTGCGACTTCAGTCTTTCTTCCTACAAATGACAAGACATCGTGTTCGAGGTGATTTTCTAAATGGACTTATAATCCAGCTGGATGACCCAGAAATGATTCTCTTCACTCTCGATCGCATGAAGGAGATGTTCTTCCCACAATTTGAGGTAGGGATGAATGATCAACATCCACATCTGAGAGCTATTAAATTTCATATCCGCCGGTTGAGGGAGAGATCACCTCTGCGTTTTGAGCTTCCATCTATATCAGTCCAGCTGGATGAATACTCTTACTCAGTTTGGAGTAAACTTTTGCTTGAAATGATGAATAGCCCCTATTGGCAGACTATTGACTGTCACTCTGATTTTCTTGTTGCACTGCGGGATGAGAACAATAACCCTGCAACTTCAGCCACTAATGCAAGAAGCCGTGAAAGCAAGCTCGATCTAGTTGGCTCAGACCAATTGGAGATGCCTGCACGACAACCACGGCAGTTGCGTCCAACGGCATGTTCATCTCCTAAGCGGCATTCTGGGTTGCCGCGCGTGAACGTGGCAATTGAGGAAATTGTCATTGACTCATCTGACAGCTCTGAAGATGATGAAGAGAACTCCATGCATCGAGCATCGCAAGCTGTACGGTTTCGAGTGGTGGATGAGGAGAACTCCATGCATCGAGCATCGCAAGCTGTACGGTTTCGAGTGGTGACTCCCCCAACATTCGATGTGGGAGGCTCGTATAGCCTGCGCAAATATCTAGAAATCTTTGAGAGATACTTTCATGCCAAGTTCCACGGTGGAGAGAGGGAATGTTCTATGGAGCTTGGTCGATTCCTCCAGGGAGAAGCCCTGAATGCTTACCATGCATTTGGTGGGTGTGAGAAGCGCTATTCTGTGCTGAAGGGAAAATTACTAGAATGGTATCGGACCAGAGAAGTTCATGGATCTCGCCGATGGAAAAACAAAATGAAAACCATGAAGTTCCAGACTGGAGAGACATTTAAACTGTTTGCAATGAGAGTCCAGGAGGTGGCACAGAAGGCCTACCCTGGTGATGACCGTGAGTGTGTCAAAAAGATGATGGAAGTGTATCACCGTGCTACCCCAACATGGTTTAATGCAAAATTAAAGCAGAAACAAGACATGAAAGAGATGATGGGACTTGGGAGAAGGCTCAATTGGGGAGACATTCTCAAGTTGGCTGAGAAGGAGGACAAGGACATCCGTGATCGTAAGATCAAAGAAGAGTATTGAGGCAAATGTACCAATTGGGATCAAGGCAATGACTATTGCAGTCCCACAAGAGAACCAAGAGATGCTGGGTTTGTTCAAGTTAGTCTTGCAACTCAATCACCCAAAGTCAACACTGGAAAGAGTTCACCAACCCAAGCAAAAACCTACTATGGGACCCAAAGGTGGTCTGGGAAAAACTTGCAGAGCAGTCCAAAGAATATGGCACATCAGCAGAATCATTTGCGAGGTGCAGCTGTTCACTGTGACTGGTGTGGAAAGCCACGCCACAGGACTGAGGATTGTTGGTTAAGGAATGGGGTTTGCTTGATCTGTGGGAGTCCTGATCATCATAGGCGGGCATGCCCCAAGTATGCAAAACGTTTGGGGGGAAAAGCACCAGTGTGTCCTGTCTGTGAGGGACCTCATTTGGGAATGAATTGCAAATCTCGAAGAGGCACTGCTTCCCCTTCAACCTCGTCAAACTAGTTACTTCTGAGCATGGAGGCGATGACTCAGAACCTAGGCCTCAGCCTCATTTGATTGAATCGGTAACAATGACCGAGGTCCATAACCCTGAGGGCAGTTACCATACAGGTAATAATGATCATACAGCTATAGGTCTTCAGATTGTTGAACAGTGTCCACCAGCTGAGGTGATGACCATGGACCCAGTTCCATATATGGATACAACCTCGTCCTCTAGAGTTCTTCCTGATTGTCAAGACAGATCTCGGATCAGAGGAGGCTCGAGAGCAGACATGGTGTCTCCACAGCACAAACGACACATTAGCTGGGACCCAATTTGTTCAGAGCAGGAGAGGGATGCGCCAATCAACCCTCGTGTAAGTATAGTGACTGACACGCATGAGGAAGTTGCTGTTCTTCCAGAGGAGTCATCAGGTATTTCTTTGGTTGTGGACCACGTGGAACCCATCTGGTTCACTAGAGCAGTGAACTTTGCCAAGGCATCACCTGTGCCTCTCTTGTGTGTAAACTTGCTACTTGCTGGAATTAAGGTCTCAGCTCTCATTGATTCGGGTGCAGAAAGGAGTCTTATAGGAGAGTCTCTGCTGCCTCCAACCTGCACTGTCGACCAGCGGCTAAAGTTCAAGATTCAGGGGATTGGTGATAGTGATGCGGTTACCTCAGTAGGACTGGTAACACTCCCTGTGAAGATGGGATGTATGGAACTGTTCATTGAGTTTATAGTAATACCATCCACAGTAACTATTAGCTGGGGAGTTCTTTTGGGCTGTGATTTTTTAAGAGCCAACCAGTTTGAGGTAAATGTTGCTCAGAGGCGGCTTACCAAGCACCATGAAGGTGGTGCTGCAGTTGACTTTTATGCAGACAGTGAGGGTGAGCTAACCTCGTCCTTACGTCATGTTCAATGCGTAACCTTGACTTCAGTTAAGGTTGACCCTGGTCAGTCTCTGGCAATACCTGTGACTCTGGGGTTAACAGATGATATAGTAGCCTCAGTAAATCGCGAGTCGCTCCTGTTAGTAGAACAGTCACAGCACAGGCCTGAGTTATCAGTAGTTAATGGACTGTTGAGGCCTGATGATCTCCACGTGCTTGTGGTGAATCATGGCAAGAAGACTGTTACTTTGAAGAAGGATGCCATCATTGGAGACATGTCATCTGTTGTGGAGCTTGACCAGAAAGATTTAACAGAGGAAGCACCAAAGTTTCCATTTTCAGAAGTTATATCTAGGGTTGATATTGATCATCTGGACAAAGATACTAAGGAGAGGCTGCTGCAGATAATGGAGTCTTCCATTTCTGTGTTCAGTGAGAGCGATGAAGACATTGGATTGGCTGCAGTCACAGCCCATGAAATAAATTTGTATAGTGATACCCCAATTTATCAGAGACCACGAAGATTCCCTGAGCCTGTGGCTCAAGAGATTGAACAGCATTGTTGGGAACTCCAGCGCTTGGACATCATTGAGCCCAGTATGTCGGATTGGTCATCTCCAGTTGTGCCCATCCGAAAGAAAGATGGTACACTGCGACTATGTGTCGATTACCGACAGCTAAATAAAGTTACCAAGCCTGATCGTTACCCTCTTCCAAATCTGGTGGATGTGGTGTATAGCCTGAAGGGAAACAAGTATTTCACGACATTGGACCTGGTTCGTGGGTATTATCAGGTACCGATACATCCCAACTCGCGGGAGTACACTGCATTCTTCACCCCACACTCACACTGGCACTTCAAGCGGTTAAGCTTTGGATTGAAAAACGCACCAGCTTCCTTTCAGCGAGAGATGCAAGCAGTGTTGCAAGAGTTCCCATGGTCAAAGGTTGTGATATACATTGACGATATTTTAATAATGGAAGAAACATTGGAACGGCATCTTGCACTTTTGGATGAAGTTTTGAGGACCTTAGCCAGTCATGGGATTAAGATAAAACCTTCCAAGTGCCATTGGGTTCAACCTTCTGTTGAGTTTCTTGGACACATTATTGATGCCAAAGGTCTGAAGAAGTCCCCTGCTTTTGTTCAAAAGGTGCTTCAGTTTCCTCGACCTGAGAAGGTTGGACAGCTGCAGGAGTTTCTTGGTCTGATCAATTTTCAGCGCAAGTTTGTACCCAATTGTTCATCAATTCAGAAATGCCTTTCTTCATTAACGGGGGGAAAGAGGGGTACAATCATTGATTGGACGAAAGAGAGACTGGAGGCTTTTGAAGGTTTGAAGAGAGCTGTCCAATCAGAAATTGAATTGGCTTACCCAGATTACTCTCCTACAGCCTCAAAGTTGATACGTACTCTCAGTGGATGCTTCTGGATTTGGTACGGGAGCATGTCTGTCTCAGTTTCAAGATGGACACGATGTTCCTATTGCATTGGCATCAATGAGCTTTAATGCCACCCAACAGAAGTATTCGACCCTAGAACGGGAATTGGCTGCACTAAGGTGGGCCATGAAGACTTTTCGAGCATTTCTCACAGGAATTGAATTCATCATCTGTACAGACCACCAGCCCCTTGTGTACCTGCACAACATGCGGTTGGTTGATGGTCGGTTGGCAAGGACACTTGAGGATTTGAGTGATTTCTCTTTCATAATTGAGTATATACCTGGTGAGAAAAATGTTATTGCAGATGGCTTGTCACACATCCCTGCAATGAAATTGCCTACCTGTGCAGAGGAGGGATGCCTACCTCCAGGATTGTGTATAGATGGAGCGCCTACTGCTGGGGGAGGCGATTCACTGTTTGTTAGTTTGTTGACCGCATTATCCCGTAACACCAATGTAAGTGTGCCATCATCACACGAAGAGCTGAGAAGGGTGTTGGTTGATGAAATGCTAGCGCATCCTCGAGAGTATGGGTTCTCAAAGGTGACAAAGGAGATCAGGCAGAATCTCCGATTGATGAGGTGTAAAGGGCAGTTTCCTTGCATGGTAGTTTTGCTTGCATTGAGTTCCCTCTATCAATTAGTTATTTTGGTTTACTTTTGGAGTGATCACCCAGTAGTTTATCGCCACGCCCGAGTATCTAAGGAAAATTGTCAAGGTGTGATATTTCTCCAGTGCTTGGCGGGAGTCCACTTCAATCCTGTAAGAGCTACACCTGGTTTCAAGTGCCCAGAAACTGAGATGTGGGCACCAGAGTGTACTTTTAGCTTGGATAATGTGCAAAGTAATAAGAAGATGTCTGAAGACGAGGCGCAGCTTACTAACTGTCTCCACTGCCATATGTTCCAGATGTCTTGACTCTGAACTACTGCGTGTGTTGGTGCAGATTTCAAATGAAAGTTATTGTGCTATCATTGATACTGGTGCTGAAGTTAGCCTAGTACAAAATTCTGTATTTGAGGCGTGCGCAGGACCTCTCATGTCTACTGAAAGCCCTCCCAGTATTGAGGGTTACACCGGAGATGCCTGCAGAGTGCAGGGTGTGGCGGTTTTGAAGTTAGCAATAGGTGAACTGGAACTGCGTGAACATCCTTTTGTTGTGGTAGAGGATGGACTAATTCCCCATTGCCTCCTACTTGGAGCTGATTTCCTTCAGAAAAATTGGCTAACTATCAACTTAGCTGATGATGTAATGCGTCAGGTGTCTGGGGCTGGAGGAACAGTCAAATTGTTGTCTGGCTTTCCTTTAGGACAGATCAAATCTAGCGTGCTCTTTGTTCACTTGGAAGATAATCCTGTGTTGTCTCCTTTATTTTGCCTCAAAACTGTTCAATCAGTTCTGCCCCGCCCTGTATAAGCTAGCTAACACATTTAAATTGTATATTGTAATAAATATATAACAAATAGTCAAATAGTTAGACTACTTATAGCCTTATAAGAATTAGCTAAGCTGCTAGCTACCTACAATGTATTGCACTCTTGATGCCTCTGTACCAAAAACATTCCATTTATTGGAACCCAATACACACTAAAGGCAACAAGTTTACATACCAATTGGTCATTCATAGTACATTTATACTAAACCATGAATAACAACACCTCAATATAAATTAAAGACTGCCACTCAATATTTTTAAATATATGAAAAAATCAAAAAAATCAAAAAAATAAAAAAAATCATGATTTTTTTATAAAAAAATCAAGTGATTTAATCACATGATTTAATCATTTTGATTTAATCATTGCCAACCCTGCTGAACTGCAATCAAACCTTTTCTACGGTTCACTCGTATGTCTTCCACATGCATGGTTGAAAAAGGCGGTGCTTCCAATACTGAGCAGAGCTGCTCCGGTGAGGTCAGACCGTCAGCATTCTTTTCGAGCCATCATCCGCTGGGCGGATGAGGACCACCCAGGAATCTTGTCGATCAGTTGTGGTGGCACTGGTGCCGTTGGGCAAGTCCAACCCCACAACATCATTGGTATTCTTTCGAGTTGTTTTCACTATGGGAACATGAGCTGAGATCATTCCAGCATTGGGCCTCTTCTTTGTTTCTCCCGACATTTCTTCACTGGTAGCAGGCGCACCCTTGCGCTTCCGACAAGCTGCTCCACATTCTGGTGAGTTGCCATCTTGGGATGAGGAAGGAGTTGAATCTTTCCCGTCAGTAATTTCAGTTTCACAAAAATGTCTGAGTTGCGAATCGGTCATTGCCAGCTGACTCAACTCTGATGCGTTTGGTGAAGCACCAGGATCAATAAGATCTTGACCCTCACATGTATTAGTCATTGAGGGATCATTTAGCACTTTCACAAATCACAATAAGAAAAAC